ATTGGTGCAACGACTATTTGAACAAATAAGAAATGTATGTAGAAAACAAGATATTAACCTTAAAACTAAGATAACTTTGAAAATAAATAAACATACCGAATAATTATAATAGTCGTATTGTTAAAGCCCTTTATTTATGTCTGTGTTTTTGTTTGGTTTTATCAGTTGAAGTTTTTTTTTTTTTTTTTTTTTTTATTTAGAGCAGAAAAGCTCCTGAAATCAGGTCATCTGGCTCAAACTGATGCAATATTTCTATAGGTGCTGTTATTTGACAGCACATCCCACCATCACTATCTGGGACAAAGACTTATTCAGGAGGGCATCATCTATCATGAATGCATGGGCTGTGTGTGGGGGGGGTGTGGGGGGGTGTAACTCAGCTACCTCCTCTCTAACTGTTGCAGTATCAGAAACACACCAACAGAGGTCCCATTTTTAGTCTGTGATTGTAACCATTTGCTCCAAGCTGCAGCCTGGTTGGCTCAGCCACTCTGACCCAGACTCTGACATTAATGAGACAAACACATTTACTTCAAACCTCTGCTTGTGGGACCAAATGGTCCCACCAGGACTAACGACGAGGACAAAACTGCAACTGTGCTGAAAACACATCTTCATTTAGACAGGAAGTAAGAAGTGCTGCTTCTGAGTCCAGAGGGAAGTAACACATACTAAAATGACAAAACAATGTTAAATATTTTCTAATACAATAAACAATTTTTATTCATCCATGAACTATTAAAAGATTTAAATGATAAAATGAATTAAATGGCTGGTTTTAACATTTATTATAAAGCATTACTTTATAATAAATAATTACATTATCTCACTTGTAAATGAGTCTTTGAGAATCAATGTCATTTATCTGTCTAAATAAAGGTTGAATGAATGAATTACAATAAAAATAAACCATATAAAATATATGTATGAATATATATATATATATACTTTGTATATTTGTGTGTGTGTTAAGAGCTAAATAAAACATTCAATGTGCTCTTGGGTTTTTTCATCATCTTTAAATAAGTTCCAATTTATCTAATTTCAAGGCATTAACTGATTTTTTTTTTTTATCAGTGTAACTTTTTCCTCTCGTCCTTATTAGTAATCTAATAAATTATTATATAATTATCAGTTTTAAGTAACTGAGAAGTTTGATTTATGTCAGTTTAATGTGCTGATGTAGGAATGTGTTTTGTAAAACACTTCCAGTGGGTTCCACGAACGAAAACATCCATAACAAAAACTGACACCTAAATAAGTTGTTCAAATTATTAAAAATGTTGTTTGCTGTTCGTTTAGGGAAAGGAAATGTGTACATTTTAATCATGACCCTTCAAAGGGAGCAACATTTTCACTTTTCTTGACCGTATTGTTCAGACTATAAGGCGCACTTAAAATCCTTTCGTTTTCTCAAAAATCGACAGTGATCTGTCGAATCAGGTGCAACTTATGTGTTGATTCTGGTTGTGCTTGCTGACCTCCAACCAATTTTATGTGATTGTGAAAGTGTTGAATAAAGTTTGACTTATCTGTTCTGTTTTGCTTAATGCGCCTTATAGTCCGACAAATACAATACTTTTTAAATTTTGTCCTGTAACTACTTCAACCAAACTGAACTTTATTCTTTTTAGTGATCCAGACACCATAACTCTGATCAGTGAGTGGAACATTTAAACCGAGACGTCTCCGTCGTGGTTTTTTTAAAAAAAGGATCCTGCAGATCTCAGACCCCTCCCTCGGCTGTTCTTTCCACTGACGTCCCACTCATGATCCTGTGACACGAATACAAAGAAGAGAGTGCTGATGTGTGGCTGAATGTACCCTCGGTGCCCCCTTCAGCTCTTAGATCAGCTGACCACTAATCAGCACCCAAATGTAGACCTGTGAATTGTTCTGCATCAGCTGAGTCATTTCTCCTGACCCCGTTCACCGTTGAGGAACAAATCTTTAAATATGATTCAGCACACATCAGACACCTGTCGGCATTTAAACAAATAATACAACAAGGGAAACAGAGGGAACTCTGAGAGTTGAATGATTTGAAGAAGCTGAAATTGAGCTGTTAAAGCTAAAAGAAACACCAGCACAGAGCTAAAATAAGCAAAGGCTAGATGAAATTTTAAAATTGCAACAACAAAAAAAGCTCAAACCTAAAAATATCAAAAGGTTGGCTTAAAGCTAAAAGTTGCAAAATGTTGGCTAAAAGTGGTAAAAGCTAAGTAGCAGAAGACCAGCTAGATGTGGCAGAACCTAAAGTGACCCCCAAAAAAAGCTAAAAGTTGCATTTAGCAAAAAGCTAGCTTAAAGAATCAAAGGGCTCGTTAAAAGCTAAAAATATCAAAATGTTAGCAATAAGCTAAAAGTAGCAAAAGGATGGATAAAAGATAAAAGTAGCAACAACTCTAGCTAGAAGCTAAATGTTGCAGAATACAAACGAAGAGCAACAAAAGACTAGCTATAAGCTAAAAGTAGAAAAGGCTAGCTAAATGTTGCAAAATATTAGCTAAACCTAAAATACCAAAAGGCTAGCTAGAACCTAAAAGTAAAAAAACACTGCTTAAATCTAAAAGTGGCAAAAGGCTAGGTAAAGGCTAATAGTAGCGCAATAGACTGGAGGCAAAAGTAAAGCCAGTACACTGAAACAGATTTCAGAGAAAAAGTATTTTAAGGAATTGGAAATACCTTAATGGATTTCTATGGATTTTTTTTTTTATTATTTTTTTTTGTAAATAAAACAAAATATTTTAAAAAGTATAAAAGTTAGAAAAACGGCGTAGCCTCCACGTCCTGAATGAGCTGAACATTTTGTTATGAACGGCCAAAAAAGCATAAAATGTGCAAAATGTCATAGCCACAAACTTAAGAAAATAAAATCTTACTGGAAAATAAAAGTATAATATAGTAAGTAAGAATCAGTATTCATAAAATTGAATCATCTGTAATAAAAAAACCAAACCAATCGAACTACAAAATTATTTAGAGAATTTTTACTGAGAAACGATCTTGTGTCAGAATCTTCGATAAATAAATGAGTTTGAAACGCAAAGGTGGAAATTGTGATCTAAACGTGCACATGTCGAGAGTCTTATCTTCTCATGTGGGTTTGAGATAGTTGTAGAGAGCACTGAGTCCTCCTTGCAGCACCTCCTGGATGGGCTTGAGGAGGGGGTTGTGGATTATATGGAGTCCTTTGTCCAGCGGGTGACAGGCCAGCCGCCGGAGCCCGCTCAGTAAATACAACTCCACAGGAACACTTTGCAGTTCGTTAAAGTCAACATTAAGGAGCTCCAGAGACTCCAAGAAACACAAAGTCTTGGGCAGCGTGTGTATACTGTTTCCCTCCACGATCAGGATCTTCAGGTTCACCAGGTCCTGGATCTGGTCTGCAATGGTCTCCAGGCGATTGCAGGCCAGGTGGAGGAACACCAGGCCCTTCATGCTGTAGACGCAGGTCGGGATGTGAACGATGCGGTTGTGACTCAGGTTGAGCTTGGTCAGGTTGCGCATGGACGCCAGGCTGCTGGGGAGGCCCGATATCTGGTTGTTGGCCAGACTCAGAACCTCCAGGCGGGTGCAGGAGCCCAGCTCCTCGGGGACCTTGCTCAGGCAGTTGCAGCAAGCGAAGAGCACACGCAGCTTCTTCAGGAGGCCGATCTCAGGGGGCAGGCAGGACAAGTTGTTCCCCCACAAATTTAGAACCACCAGGTTGTCCAGCGCCCCCAGGGTGGGAGGCAGGGAACACAAGCCGTTCATGGACAAGTTGAGCTTCTGGAGCTCGCGGAGCTCCCACAGCTCGGCGGGGGTCTCGTCCAGCCCCCTCATGGCTAAGCTCAGGGTGCTGTAACCAAAGTGCACCGTTGTGTATTTGCGGATCCTCTCTGCAGCTGAGGAAAGGCCGAGCTGATCCCCTCTGAATGTGCTCTTCCTCCTTGGAACCACCCTCACCTCGTTCAGATCCTTGTTGGACGGACTGCAGGACTGCTTCCCACCCATCGTGGTCTCGGCACTAACGGTTCTGTCCCCGATAACGGCTCGCGATCAGCTCAATCAACCACTCTTGAAGCATTTGAGGGGACTGCTGAGGACACCTTCTGATTGATCTCCTGGGCTCCTCAGCATGATCAGCTTCAGTCGCTCTGGTTTGTGTTCGAACTCGTTGATGGCTGGCTGAGTTTTTCTGACCGAGCTGAAGCGCCGGCTGTTTTAACAGAGCTCTCATGATCTGTTTGTCCCTCTAACAACCGTCTTACTCACCGGCTTTCATTCCCCAGCTGGTCCTGTCACTTCTCAAGTCCACAGATAGCACTCAGATCCCCCCACCCAACTACGGGCAGGCAGTAAAGCGGACAGGATGCTGCAGTCCTACAGAAATAAACTTGTGTTATCCTAAGGTCGGGGTCTGCAACCTGCGGCTCTCGGGCCACATGGGGCTCTTTGGTCCCTCTGCAGCGGCTCTGTGCGACTTTGACAGAAAATAATCTGGAAATGAGTCTTTTTATTCGTAACCACAATAGAAAGGGCTTTATTTAGGAGTTTTTGTGTCCAACTTTACGCAAAACTAAATGAAATTTTGGTGACAAATCAAAATGATTATTGTGTGAATTCACACTATTGTTTTCCTGTTTTAACTATTCCGTACATTTTTTAACATCTAACTCGTCCCCCAGTTTTTGTGCTATTTCAACAAATCATAAATCAGAACGTTGAGCCGTTTCAGGACAATCCTGCTATGACTTTTGGAATTGGTGCAACTTTACCTTCTTGAGATATT